GACTCTTACCACGGCCGAAACTGCAGCGCCGAGGAAGGGATCTACCAAGATGCCACCCCCCTCTCCGGGAAGATCGTGCTCGCCGTCGTCCTGGCGCTCGTCACGCTGGCCACGGTGCTCTCCAACGCCTTTGTCATCGCCACGGTCTACCAGACGAGGAAACTCCACACGCCGGCCAACTATCTCATCGCCTCGCTGGCCGTCACCGACCTCCTTGTCTCCATCCTCGTCATGCCCATCAGCACCATGTACACTGTGACCGGCAAGTGGACGCTGGGCCAGATCGTCTGCGATATCTGGCTGTCCTCGGACATCACCTGTTGCACGGCGTCCATCCTGCACCTCTGTGTCATCGCCCTGGACCGCTACTGGGCGATCACCGACGCCGTCGAGTACTCCACGAAACGGACTCCCAAGCGGGCAGCGGGCATGATCGCTCTGGTGTGGGTCTTCTCCATCTGCATCTCCATGCCCCCTTTGTTTTGGCGGCAGGCGAAGGCCGAGGAAGTCTCTCACTGTGTGGTGAACACGGACCACGTCCTCTACACTGTGTACTCCACAGTGGGAGCCTTCTACTTCCCCACTCTGCTGCTGATAGCCCTCTACGGGAGGATCTACGTGGAAGCCAGATCGCGGATTTTGAAGCAGACGCCAAAGAAAGCAGGTAAAAGACTAACGCGGGCTCAGTTAATCACAGACTCCCCGGGGTCGTCCTCCTCCGTCACGTCCATAAACTCCAAGGCCCCCGAGGGATCCAGCGAAACGGGCTCTCCCGTGTACATGAACCAGGTGAAGGTGAAGGTCTCGGATGCCCTGCTGGAGAAAAAGAAGCTCACGGCCGCTAGAGAGCGGAAGGCTACAAAGACTTTAGGGATTATTTTAGGAGCTTTCATCGTCTGTTGGCTGCCCTTTTTCATCATCAGCCTGGTGTTGCCTATTTGCAAGGACGCTTGCTGGTTCCACGGGGCCATCTTTGACTTTTTCACGTGGCTTGGATATCTCAACTCCCTCATCAACCCCATCATCTATACTATGTCTAACGAAGACTTCAAACAAGCTTTCCACAAACTCATACGTTTCCGATGCACAAGCTGAAAATTTTGAATGCGATGTGTCCTCCGGGTCTGCCCCCATGCACGCCCGTGCCCGA